CGTGATACTCACACATTTTCTTGTTGCTTTATATTGTATATCACTTATATTGAAATGCACTGGTTAACCTCCCTAGCGGTCTGATGTCAGTATTTCTGTGCTCAAAGCGGTACATTGTTTTCAATGGAAATATGTTGTTTTTTTATTGTAGGCCTGTAATTCTTAGGAATAACTCACTGAAATCTGTCCGAACAAGAGTCTAGTAAACATCCGGATATGATAAAATTTGAAATATGAAATCCTAAATTATAATATAATAAATAATCATAAAAAAATAATAATAATACATTTAAGTCAATAATGTGATTAACTAAAAACACTGAAATTTGAAATATAGCGCCAAGTTTGCACATTGCTGAGCAAAGTCACAAAATCGTTTTCAGTGTCTGATGACGAATTTCCCCACAAATCATTATCACTCAATTCTGCAAGTGGTTCTAATTTACTATCGTGTTCTCTAGCCGGTCTAAAACCGCTTTTGACCTAAAGGGACGCTTTTTGGACGCCATGGACGTTTCTCAGTTTCCAGGCAGAAAAAAACAGTAAAAATGCAGACAGGGCACAGGACAAAGCACTAGGGACAAAATGTATGTGAAATGGTTTGATACAGTAATGTTTTACTATGTGATTTTAGTGTATTGAGTGAATGTAAAATTTTTACATTTTCGAAATTCCTGCCGGTTCCGTCCCGTACGTCCCAACACTTGCAGGGAATGGAACCAGGATGATGGATGCCGGCATTGGCCGGAGGACATGGCCGGGGACACTGCAGGGGGGACATCGCGGGAGCGCAGGACAAGGTAAGTGCTGGAAGGATCCCAGAGCAACGCTGCAGCATATTCCCGAGTGTAGCTCAGGGTTCCCGCTTCTGGTACTGAAAGTTAACCCCGAGCTACACTTGGGAATACCGCCAGGGAGGTTAATTCTATCTTATGGTATTGTATGTTAGGCTAGGTTGACACCTATGCAGGTTGTGTTTGATGTAGAAATGTGGAAAGAGGTGAGCGCTGGCAATAGTTGGGAAGCTGCTAGCATGTAAGGTAGGTAACAATCCCCACAAATAAATATGTAAACAAGTGCAGCACTAAATACTAAATGACTAATGAATCAAGTGAAACAATAAAGTGCATCACGTAATAAAATAATAACTGTCGGCAAATCAAATTCTAGAAACTGAATGGAACAGTAAAGTGCATCATAAACTGTATGTATCAAAACAGAACAGTAACATGCATCATATAAAAGTGCAAATATCTCAACCAGTCATTTGTAAAAAATGGAGCAATAAAGTGCATCATAAACTGTATGGATTGAGCAGAGCATAAAAGTGCATCATATAAGAGTGCAAAAACTGTCAGGTGAATCAACTGTATAAAATGTATTTAAATGAAATGGCAAAATGCTGCATAGACATGCTAATGATGTAATATATTAATGTCCATGGTGATGCATGGTATAAGGTGCAATATAAGCCAAATATAGCAAAATATATGGATAATATTAGTGACCTAGTAATATCCGTGATTACACGTGATCCACATAAATCTCCGTAAGGCAAGAAAGTGCAGCAAAATACGGTGCTGAGTGCAAGAGTGATATTAACCACTTGAGCTCCAGAGGATTTACCCCCTTAATGACCACGCCTCTTTTTGCCACTCAGCGCTGCACTAATTCAACTGATAATTGCGCGGTCATGCAATGCTGCACCCAAACAAAATTTATGGCCTTTTTTTCACACAAATAGAGCTTTCTTTCGGTGTAATTTGATCACCTGTGCGCTTTTTATTTTTCACGCTATAAACAAAAAAAGGCCAAAAATTTTGAAGAAAAACAATATTTTTTACTTTCAGCTATAAAAAATATATAGTAAACTCAAGGTTGGTTATAAATTTAGGCCAAAATGTATTCTGCTCCATGTTTTTGGTAAAAAAAATCCCAATATGTGTATATTGATTGCTTTGTGTGAAAGTTATAGCGTCTACAAACTATGGTATAAATACTGCAATTTACGCCATTTTTTTGCTATACAGCGCTGCACTAGTTTAACGGACAATTGCGCGGTCATGCAATACGGTACATAAATGAAATTTACATCCTTTTTTTCCCCACAAATTGAGCTTTCTTTCGGTGGTATTTGATCGCCTGTGCGGTTTTAATTTTTTGCGCTATAAAAAAAAGGCTGACAATTTTGAGGAAAAAAAAAAACAATATTTTGGACTTTTTGCTATAAAACATGTCCAGTAAAAAAAAAAAATGCAAAAATCAAATTTAGTCATAAATTTCTGCCAAAATGCATTCTGCGACATGTCTTTGCTAAAAAAAAAAACCCAATACGTGTAAATTAATTGGTTTACGTGAAAGTTATAGCGTTTACAAATGGCGGGAAAAATACTGGGATTTTTATGGTTTTTTTATACTAATAATGGCGGCGATCAGCGAATTATGGCGGCGATCAGGGACTTATGGCGGGACTGCGGCGGACATTCTGACATTGGGGGGGGTACTGACTTGGGGTCACTGACATCCCCAAAAAACACTAATACAGTGATCAGTGCAAAAAAAAAAAACCACTGACACTGTACTAATGGCAATGGGGAGGAAGGGGTTAACTTTATTTTGCAGGGAAGGGTTATAGGAGTGAGGGGAGTGTTTTACTAGGGGGCGGGGGGTGTGTGCTGGACGGGACAAGGCTGATCGAGAAAGAGAAACTGTTCTTTCTCGATCTGCTCATCCTCGAGCTGACAGGGAAGTGACAGACAGCACAGCTACTGCAGCTGTGCTCTCTGTCACTGTTTGCCGCCGATCACCGGGACATAGCCGCTCCCGGCGACTGACATCTGCGGCGGTGATCCGCAGGACAGATAGGGTGGCGGCGCGCCTCACGTGCGCCCCCTATTTGTTTACAAAACACACATTTTAAAACGTGGTTTTGCCTGCGAGTGCCGCCCTGCCACCATATATGTACAGTGGCTGGTCGGCAAGTAGTTAAATCACGCAGGAGAATCCACCACCTCTAACAAATGAAACTGGTAACAGGCATTTCAAGTATAAACACATCTTGAGGTAGGGGGCAGCCAAGAGGTTAGGATGGACTGTCTCGTCTGGGCTTTGGATGAATAAAAGGCCTTTGTCCACATGGAGTCATAAATGAAAGTATGGAAAGAGAAATACCAAGATGGTCGCCGCTCTGTCCTTCAGTAGCGGCAGCAGCGTGACATCAGCAAGGCTCCATCCAACGCGTTTCGTGCGCATGCACGTCTTCAGGGGTATGCCGATTGTGTTTGAGCTCTGTCTGCATTGCGTTTTAGCACTTACGTTTTTTATGCGTTTTGCTTTTTTTGTTTTGTTGCTAGGAAGATTTAAAAAGCTGCAAAAATACAGCAAAAACGCAATACATGCTTTTCTGCAGCGTTTCCATTAAAGTCTATAGAACCAAAAATGCAACTTTTTGAGTTAAAAAAAGTCCCTGACCCTTTCCAAAAAATGCACCGAGTGAAAATACACAGATGTGAACGTGTCCCATAGGAAATCATGTTAAATGGACTGTTGTGTGTTTCTGCAAAACGCTGCAGAAAACGCTTAGGTGTGAACCTAGGGTCAAAGTAGGGAACATAGAACCTTTCAGGCATTTTTGATTTTTGTGTCTCAGCAGAAAAGATTTCCCCACTTCCTGTTGTGTCACTATTATTGCAAATGCACTTGCAAAGTGCACAGTCTATTTGCCTTTAGTAAAATACCCACCCGTCTGTGTCATAGCAATCAGATTCTATGGTATTGAATTAATACCAATATCAGTAATTCTATAGAACAAGAAAATCCCACATTTAACTGATCTTAACTTCATTGAACAGATGGCTTCTTATTGGTCACTACTCAATCTATATTGTCTTCATTTTCTGTCTCTGAAGGAAGAGATTTCCCTCCAACTTCCTGTTGTGTGTCACCCAAGACGGGAAGTGGAAAGAGATGACTCCAACAAGCACACTGACAGACAACGAAAAATGTTTTAATAGAGCTGGGAATGGCTAGAAACATATTCAGATATCTTTGCTGTTTGTGTCTCCTATGGATCAGATTGAAGCTCTTACTTTTCATACAGTAACCAAAAGTTATCCAGTTCCGGTATGAACCAGCTAAATATCACCCTATTGCCACCCTCCCACGCGACATCTTTTATCTGAAAAATGATGAAGGCAAGCAAAAAATGATGAAGGCGAACAGCAGCTGTGTTTAATCAGATGCAGCCGTTTAGGGTGTTCCTGACAGCTGCAGGTGCTACTGGCTGTCAGAAATACAATAGATGACATGTCAGATTCGTCTGTCTGTACTGTATAGTGTAAATGGAGGAACGCGTTACTTTTTTTTTTGATTCAGCTTGAAGGGGGGGGGGCACTCTTTGTGTCTGGAGGAATAGAGATTTATAACTGCCACATACGGGAAAGCTTTCTTTACAGTAATAAGAGCTGTGAATTGTGGAATAGACTCCTCATTCAAGAGCTAGTTTGGCTTCTGGCAGCTCATTAGGTTTTTTAAGAAAAGTCTGGATGCATTCCGTAAAATGCACAAACTGTAACTGGACATTAACATTTATAGGTGATAACATACCAGAGATTCATTAATCCAGGGGATATCCAATTGCCCTCAGAGGGTTCAGGATGGGATTTATTTTTCCTCTTGCACCATGCATTATAGGGTGATTTTTGTCTTCCTCTGGATTCCTCTGGATCTGGGCATATGAATTTGTATATAGAGGTTTCCTATATTTATTTTTGTTCTTAGATGGGCTTGTTTTTTTTTTTACTTTGTAACTATGTGTAAACAAGACTGTTGTATATACTGGGTTATAGCGTCAACTTTAGTAGAGATGAGCGAAGTATTCATAAATTCGATTTCGGCTGATTCGGCGAATTCGAGGAATATATTCAATTCGATCGATGCGAATATATTCGCTGCGAATTTGACCTTATAAAAAGGGTGTGTTTCTAGGCTTCAGAGAGCCTTTATATTAGTGCAGAACACTGTACCCTGTATAATTTAATATGCCTTGGAGTCTGCTGGGGAAAGAAGAAATAAATACTGCCAGTCAGTAAAGAGCATGACATGCAGATGAGTGCCGTCGATCTTAGAATCACCGTTACACTTCACTCATTTGGGCAGTCACCGGGGCCATAAACCAGAGAGTGTGGAGCCACTGTCTGTGGCGGTGGAGGCAGCAGCAAATGGGAGGCCTTACAGCACACCCTATGACAAAATGGAACTCAACACAGCAGATGTGTGAGGAGACCTGAAAGTGGCACCATGGCAGAGTGTGGCGATGGAGACAGCAGCCAATAGGGAGGCCGTTACAGAGGACCCCATGAGGGACCTTGCTGCATGCAGAGGAGGCTGGAGTACTCTAGGAACCATGACAGATTACGGGCCCTGGCACAGCAGATGAGGAGGCGGCACCATGGCAGATTACGGGCTACAGGGGAGGCCCGTATGAGCAGATTAACCACCAGGGTGAGGAGACCTGAAAGTGGCAAATTGGAAGTGTTTGTGGCGATGGAGACAGCAGCATGAGGCCAGATACAGGGACATGAGAGTGCACAGGTACCGGGGGGGGGCCACATGGCAGATTTAACGGGCCTGGCAGCAGCAATGGGAGGCCCGTAATCTCGCCAGCACCTATGACAAAATGCGAAACCACACAGCAGTGTGAGAGAGACCTGAAAAAGTGGCACATGGTAAGAGTGTGGCGATGGAGACAGCAGCAAGCAATGGGAGAGGCACGTACAGGGACCATATGAGAGAGAACATCTGGGACCATGGCAGCAGCATGAGGAGCGGCTGGGTACGGGGCCCATGGCAGCTTACAGGCCTTGGCAGCAGCAATGGGAGGCCCGTAATCTGCCAGCACCCTATGACAATATGGAACCCACCAGCAGTGTGAGGAGATCCATGAAAGTGGCACATGGCAGCGTGTGTGGCGATGGAGCCAGCAGCAATTGGCGAGGCCCGTACAGGGGACCCAATGACCAGACTCTACGGACATGGCAGCAGCATTGAGGAGGCGGGAGGTACAGGGGCACCATGGCAGATTACAGGGCCTGGCACGAGCAGCAATTGGGAGGCCCGTAATCTGCCAGCACCCTATGGACAAAATGGAAACCACCAGCAGTGTGAGGAGACCTGAATAGTGGCACTTGGCAGAATTGTGTGGCGATGGAGACGCAGCAATGGGAGGCCGTATACAGGGGACCCATGAGAGACTCTGGAACCTGGCAGCAGCTATGAGGGATGGCGCGGTCGTGGGGTACAGGGCCCATGGCTGATTTCGGGCCTGGCAGCAGCAATGGGTAGGCCGTAATGTCTGCCAGCACCCTATGACAAAATGGAAACCACCTGCAGTGGTGAGGAGGACCTGGAAAGTGGCACTTGGCAGAGTGTGGCGATGGAGACTGCAGCAATGGGGTAGGCCGTATACAGGGACCCGATGAGACGACTCGGGAAATGGCAGCAGCGATGAGGAGGGGGGTTAGGGGGGCCCATGGCTTTTTTTAAAGGGCCTGGAGCAGCAATGGGGGGCCCGGGAAACTGCCAGCACCCTATGAAAAAAATGGAACCCCCCAGCAGTGTGAGGAGACCGGGAAAGTGGAAACATGGCAGAGTGTGGCGATGGAGCAGCAGCAATGGGGGGCCCCGTACAGGGGCCCCTTGAGAGACTCGGGCCCGGGCAGCAGAAATGAGGAGGGGGTTTTAAGGGGGGGGGCCCATGGCAAAATTAGGGGCCTGGCAGCAGCAATGGGGGCCCTTTAATCGGGCCAGCACCCTATGCCCAAAAGGGGAACCCCTCAGCATTTGGGGAGGAGACCTGAAAGTGGCACATGGCAGAGTTTTGGGCGATGGAGACAGCAGCAAGGGGAGGCCTTTCAGGGCCATAGGGAAAACCTGGACCTTTTAGCGCAGCATGAGGAGGCGGTAAGGGGGCACCAGGCAGATTCGGGCCTCTGGCTGCAGGCAATGGCGAGGCCGTAATCTTGCCCCAGCACCTATGGACAAAATGGAACCCCACCAGCAGTGTGAGGAGACCTGTAAAGTGGCACATGGCCAGAGTGTGGCCGAATGGAGACAGCAGCAATGGGGGGCCGTACAGGGACCCATGACAAGATTCGGGCATGGCCAGCAGCTTGAGGGAGGCGGTGTGGTACAGGGGACCATGGCAGATTAGGGCCTGGCGGGGGCTGCTATGGGAAGGCGTAATCTGCCAGCACCCTATGTCAAAATGGAACCCACCTGCAGTTGTGAGGAGACCTGAAAGTGGCACATGGCAGTGTATGGGCGATGGGAGACAGCAGCAAATGGGAGGCCGTACAGGACCCATGAGAGGGACTCTGGACCTATGGCAGCAGCAGCATGAGGATGGAGGGGTACAGGAAGGTCCATCGACAGAATACGGGCCTGGCAGCAGCAATCTGGGGATGCCATAGTAACTGCCAGCACCCTATCCACCAAATGGAACCCACCTCAGCTCAGTGTGAGGAGTCGCTCCAAGCTGGCACATGGCAGTAGTGATAGTCGATGGAGCCTGCTGCCTGGGAGCCGTACTGGATCAAGGACTCATCTACACATTCTGGAATTCTCTCCACTTCTTCTTATTTCCTTTACATATAGCTAACTAGGAGCATCCTTACCTTAAACCCATGGCAGATTCACGGGCTGGCTAGCAGCAATGGGAACACCATAAATTTTTCAGCCACCCTTTTCACACTACTAATATGGACTTACCCATTTTAATGCACTCATACATCCCTATAAAAAAAACACTTGGCAGACTATAACCCACCCCAGTACTCAGCAACCCCAGCTAATGGGAGGCTAGTATTCAGGGACCCGATAGTATAAACATCTGGGATAGCCTGGCTGCACTCCAAATCTAACTAAGGTGGTACAGAGGGCCCATGACAGATTACACGGGACTGGACAGCTGCACCCCATAAAGGCACGTTACATTCTTTCCTCAGCAACCCATCCTGACTAAACCGGACACCACTCTCAGCAGTGACTTTGGAGCACCCTTAAATCCCGTTCTATGGTCCCAGCCCTCCAGTCTGGCTACCCTGCTGGATTTGTCTACCTCCGCCAGCATTAGAGGCTCGTGGTAGATCAGGGACCCTTAAGGTGTCAACTGACTCATGGCAGGATACATGTCTGGAGGAGGCGGGTGCTCCAGGCTCACTCTAATCCTTCAGATCTTCCCCCCTGGCAGCAGCAATCGGAGCCCGCTGAAGCTTGTTTGTCATTCTATGTTTCCACACTGCCTATTCACCTGCCCGTCGTCGCCCATCCCTGAAAGTGGCTACTTGGCAGATGTGTCCATGGAGAGATCACTCAGCAATGGAGGCATCGATACAGAGATAGATATCATTGACCCCGGACCTTAGGCTAGCACAGCTATGAGTGAGGCGGTCATCGGGGGCCCATGTCAGTACCCCCCACTACCCTCACTCCTCACCGAGCAAGCAATCCGAGTGAGGCTCCGTATATCTGCCTGCGACTCGCAGTACTGACTAATTCGGTGACCCGCACAGTGCTACTGCTGGTGGATTGAGGAAGATCCTGAAAGCTGGCACGATTGGCGCAGAGACGTGTGGCTGGATACGAGGCTACCAATGCCATCCTATACATAGGTGAGTGTTGTTAATCTGGTATTCACACTGAGTGACTCTTGACACATACACTATCAGGCTCATGAGTGGCGAAACGCGGGCCCATGCAGATTTCGGGGCCTGGTACGCAGTTATGGGCCAGGCCCGTCAAGTACAAGGTGCCAGACAGCCTATGGGACAAAATCTCAACCCATCCAGCAGTGTCTGATGTTATTATTTCTGAAAGTCGGCTACTTGCAGACCAACCACGCTATAGACTTAGCCTCGATGGGAGGCCTTATTCAGCGAGCTCCATTTGTGTGCAATCTGCGCACTGGGGCATTTTCTGTAATATTAGCCCCGTACGGCGACTTCCCTGCTCCACTCTACGGGCCTGGCCATTAATTGCAGCTTACTGGGTGACCGTCTGCGTAATCCTGTTCTCTCCTCCATTCCTATGATCCAGCTCATGCTCCTCTGAATCAACTCCTGTCCGCTCTGAGTGGGAGAACTGACCCATTGGCACATGGCATAAGGTGGCGTTGGAGACAGGCAGCAATGTCCTCCGTGTACAGGAACTCCATCCGAGACTTTCTTTCCCTGTCCTGCTGCCCATGAGGTCATGTGGCGTCTGAGGGCCCATTGGCAGATTACGGGCCTGGCAGCACTCAATGGGAGGGCCCGTGCATCTGTCTCAACACCATATGTTTCTTAATGGAATCCAACCAGAGTGTGAGGAGACCTGAAAGTCGTACATACATGGCATAGTGTTCCGATGCCGACAGCACGGATAGCGTGGTCCTGTCCTTCGACATGAGAGCTTATGGACTCTGAGGCAGCAGCATGAGGTTGTCGCGGTACTGAGCTGCCCATGACTGGTGATCGGGCCTGGAGAGCGCACACAATGGGAGGGCCCGTTAATCCGTCAGCCACCCCTATGACAACATCAGGAGGACCCACCAGGCAGTGTGAGTGTGACTTTGAAAAAGTGGCACATGTCAGTAAGTGTGGCGTTCTAGACAGCCGCAATGGGAGGCCGTTGTATTACAGGGACACCTTGAGAGACTCTGGGACCTGGAGCAGTCTAGTGAGGATCGGTTTCGTGCACGGGGGTCCCATGGCAGATTACAGGCCTGGCAGCAGCAATGGGAAGGCCCGTAATATCTGCCAGCACCCTATGACAAAATGGAACCCACCAGCAGTGTGGAGACCTGAAAGTGGCATTCATGGCAGAGAGTAGTTGTGGCGATGGAGACTAGGACACAGCAATGGGTCCAGCCGTTACAAGGGACCCATGAGACACTCTGGACCTGGGCAGCAGCAATGAGGAGGCGGGCTGGTACAGGGGCCCATGAGCAGATTACGGGCCTGGCAGCAGCAATGAGAAGGCCCGTAATCCTGCCAGCACCCTATTACAAAACTGGAACCCTTGGCAGCAGTGTGAGGAGACCTGAAAGTGGCACATGGCAGACTGTGGGTGTGGCGATGGCAGACAGCAGCAATGGGATTGGCCGTTACAGGGACCATGAGACAGTACACGTCTGGGACCTGGCAGCAGCATGAGGAGGCGGGTTAGGGGGGCCCATGGCAGATTACGGGCCTTGGCAGCAGCAATGGGAGGCCCGTAATCTGCCAGCACCTATGACAAAATGGAACCCACCAGCAGTGTGAGGAGACCTGAAAGTGGCACATGGCGAGAGTGTGGCGATGGAGACAGAGCAGCATATGGGGAGGCCGTACAGGGACCCATGAGACACTCTGGACCTTAGGCAGCAGCATGAGGAGGCGTGGTACAAGGGAGGCTCCATGCAGATTACGGGCTGGCGAGCAGCAATGGGAGGCCCCTCGTAATCTGCCAAGCTACCCTATGACAAAATGGAAACCCGACCAGCAGTGTTAGTGTAGGAGACCTGAAAGTGGCACATGGCAGAGTGTTGGCGATGAGAAACTGCAGCATGCAAGGCAATGGGACTGGACAGTACAGGGACACCATGATCACACTCTGGACTGGCTAGCCTCGATGAGGGCAGCAGACATGACATGAGGGAACGATGCAGGACGGTACCGTCAAAGAACGGGGGCCCATGGCAGATTATCGGGCTGGCAGCAAGCAACTGGGGAGGCCCGTTAATCTGCCAGCACCCTATGACAAAATGGAACCCATCCAGCAGATTGTGAGGAGACCTGAAAGTGGCACATGGCAGAGTGATGGCATATGGAGGTGACTGCAGCAATGGGAGGCCGTTACAGGGAACCCCATGACTCACTTCTGGACCTTGGCTGCACGTCATGAGGAAGGCTGGTTAGGGGTTACATGGTGGCTCCCATGACTGATTACGCGCACTGGCAGACAGCCAATGGCGAGGCCCGCTAATCTGCCAGCACCCTTATGACAATAATGGTATCCTACCAGCAGTTGGTCGAGGCAGACACTGAATGTGGCACATGTCAGAGGTGCGGGCGATGGAGACAGCAGCAATGGGGAGGCCGTTACAGGGACCCAGTGGTGACACTCTGGACTCGGACAAGCAGCAGTTGCAAGAGGAGGCTGGCTACAAGGGGCCAGGACAGGATTTACCAGGCCTCGGAGCAGCCAATGGGAGGGCCCGTAATCTGCCAGCACCCTATGACAAAATGGAACCCACCAGCAGAGTCGTGACGAGAACTGAAAAGTGGCACACATGGCAGTGTGTCAGGGCGATGGAGACAGCAGCAATGGAGCAGGGCCGTTAATCTGGGTACCAAGACACCTATGGTCAACATGGGGCAGCAGCCTTGAGGGAGGCAGGTGTGAGGAGACCCATGGCAGATTAGTGGCACGCATTGGCAGCGAGCAATGGGTGGCCCGTAAATCTGCCATGCACCCTATGAGCATATGGGAGGCCCAGCAGTGGAGGAGACCTGGACTAGTGGCACATGGCAGAGTGTGGACGATCGGAGTCAGCAGCGATGAGGAGGCGGTTTACAGGGGCCCAATCGACAGATAATCGGGCCTATGGCAGCAGCGATGAGGAGTCGGTAGGGGGGTACCGGCGGGTCCTTGGCAGATTTACGGGCCTGGCAGCAGCAATTGGGAGGCCCGTTAAATCTGCCAGCACCCTATGACAAAATGGAAACCCACCAGCCGGTGTGAGGAGACATAGAAAGTGGCAACATTTGCGGAGAATGTGGCGATGGATGACAGCAGCATATGGGAGGCCGTTTATCATGGGACTCCATGGACACACTCTGGACCTGGCGAGCAGCTATGTGGAGGGCGGGGTACTAGGGGCCCATGACAGACTTACGGGCCTGGGCTAGCAGAGCAGCTAATGGGAAGGCCGTAATATGCAAGCTCCCTATGACAATTATGTAACCCCACCAGCAGTGTGAGGAGACCTGAAAGTGGCACTTGGCAGAGTGTGGGCGATGGACGACAGCTGCTAATGGGAGGCACCGGGGCCAGTACAGGCGACCCTATCGTAAGTGCACTCTGGGGACCTGTCCAGCAGCAGATGAGGATGGCGGTACTGGGGCCCACATGACCAGATTACAGGCCTGGCAGAGCAGCCAATGGGGAGGCCCGTTAATCTTCGACGCAGCACCGCTATGACCAAAATTGGAACCCACCGCAGTTTGTGAGGAGACCTGAAAGTGGCACATGGCAGAGTGTGGCGATGGAGACAGCAGCAATGGGAGGCCGTTTCAGGGACCCATGACACACTCTGGACCTGGGGGCAGCAGCAAGAGGAGGCGGTACAGGGGCCCATGGCAGAGTGGCGAAGCGTAAGCAGCCTTAAATTGAAGGCCATGACAGAGGCCACCTATGTTAAAAATAAAGTGGCAACATGTTTGGGGCATGATTCATGGCGGATTTAGTCAGTTGTGTCAGGAACTGGTGGTTTGAATCCAGACTAATCCACGCCTGATTCATTTTCACAACGTGAGTCTCTCTCTCACACTTTGGGTGGGACCAGTCGTGTCCTCCGCAGGAGTTACAATAAATTACCCATGCCGTCACTAAAACACGCGCTCCGAATGCCACGCTACTGGCCGGGCGTGATGACAGCCTTTCAAGGGCAAATTCAGCTAGTGTTGGGGCCATAAGGTCAAGTGTTCGTTTTGCCCAGTAGTCAAGGGGATTGTCTACCTCGGTTGGCAGGGTGCTGTCCAAGTAGGCCCAAGCCTGAGTTGTTTGAGGTCCTGCTCCTAGGTCCACCTGATGCTGCTGCTGCTTGCGGCTGGTTAGTAGTTTGTTTCCTCACTGCGCTGGTGAAGAAAGCTACTCATCATCGACTGCAGACTGAGGTCAGCCGCTGTCTGGTGGAGCTGCCACTGCTCCTACCACCCCACCCCTCCCCTGCTGCCATGGCAGCGGGAACGCGAGCGCACAGGGCCCACAGTGTCTGAGGATGGACGTTGGCGCAGAATAGGCAGAGACCAACTGACTACTAGGTGGTTTTTATAGTACGTTGTTTTGGGCCTCCCTCTCAGCAGGTGTGAAAAAGGCCACCATTTTTGAACGGTAGCGAGCGAGGGGGTCCAACAAGGTGGACAGCCAAAAAGTCATCCCTCTGTCTGAATGGTTATTATTCGGCCTGTCGCTACGCAAGGCAAACCGAGCATGCTAATGGGCCATTTGTGCCAAGGAATGCGAGGGACTCCCTGCCTCCATCTCCACAGCATACTGCCACGGTGCCGTCTGGGTCCTCTGTCTCCTCCTCCTCCTCTACCAGATGATCCCTGTCTCCTCTCCACTCCTGTCCGGCTGAGTGGAAAAACCCATCCCATTTCACTCAATAATTCCTGAGCACCAATGTCCTCCCTTCTACCTCCTCCTCTTTCCTTCTTCCTGTTCATGCCCACCACAGGGGTCATGTGCGCTGTGAGGATCTGTGCGCCACGTCTGTATACCGCACCCTGAACCAGCCCATTGTTAACAGCATCGCTTGTTTCCAGGACGTTGCAACAGAGGAATGACGTCCGTTCCATCCCATAGTGTCATGCCGACTCACGAATAGCGTGGCCTTCCTCAAGGGCCACTGAGCTATGCGGCAGGTGATCACGCATGAGCTGCCTCAATGGCTGGATACATCTACGTTTACACAGGGGAGCAGTACCTTTTATCCGCTTGTAACATCAGGAAATGCGGTGGAGCTGGTGCCTGTTCGCTGTTCTCGTAAAGGCGGTTCTAACATATGTAGGCTTGATTTCCACCTTGTTGCAACGTCACTGACTGGCGTTGCTGTTAAATTGCTCCGTATTCTGCCACCCTGCAGCTCATAGGAGGGTGTGGCTTTGCGGTGAGGATGGAAATGGCTGAACTCTGAAATGGCATGCAAAGTTTACCTGAATCATTTTAAGGATGTCTTGCAGTGGGATGGTGGATGTTGAGGAACCGCTCCCTTGACAACCAGATTGAACCTGTCTACTGGACCGCCATGCATGGCGCAATGGCACAACCTTGCCTTGACGAGAGCTGACTCCATGTATCCTTTCCGTTTGGTCGGTCATACATGGTTCCGATTTTTCAGTGTTTGCGGCGGAGACAGCCATCTGATGATTTCTCTGTTCATTACACTCAGAAGTTCCTCCCCTGGGTAGAATTACTACGTTCGCCAAGGCATACCAGGTGCAGCAGCAGCGTGACACCGTTGCGCCCTGCACATGTGATATGCCGGTCGGTGTAATGGGACTTGGCACGGGGGTGGCGGGGCGTGGCGGTTCTGAGGACACGGCGGAAGAAGAGGTGGTAGAGGCGGACATCTTTGCTGGACCAATGACGTGCAAACGTGGAGGGCAAAAGCGGCGTGACCTGTCCAAGTTGCTGGTGCCATGCTGTGCCGGCACCATACGTTCACCCCATGGGCCGTAAATGACATGTTATACTGTCCCTGACCGTAGTTACAGCTCCACACGTCGGCGCTGCCCCGTGCACTTTGGCAGAGAGTCCTCTTTACATGCTCAAAGACTGGCCCACCATCTCTTCTACATGTGAATGCAGGGCTGGCTTTGCCTTTTTGGCGAAGAAATGCCGGCTTGGCACTCTCCACCCCGTCGGCTCGGCACAAGCCATTCATTTCTCGGAAAGGTGCTGAGTCCACCACTTGGAAAGGGAGGGACTGCAGCACCAGCAACTTGGGTCAGGAGGACGTTCAGCTTCTGCACCGTCGGGTGCGTGCTCGCAAACTGTTGTCTCTTGGAAACGGATTCCAAGAAAGACTGCTGACGGAATCCGTGAAGAGGAGTAGCAGGAGAAGGAGCATCTGAACGAGCGGAAGAATGCCAACGAGCGACAAAATCTCCCCTCAGCAGAGGTGTTTGGAGCCTTGACTGGCTGATAGAGGGCGATTGACGTCGGGTGTGACGGTAGCAAGTAACGGATTGACGGCGGGTGATGGAGCGGGGGCTGGGGCAGGCAGGGGGCAGAAACCGCCGTATCTTTATCACGGTTTTTTTCCCTCCCAGGCCACCGAATGGCGACGCTGCATATGCTGTACGCAACGCTGTAGTCCCAACATGGGCACCCCTGGCCACGCTTGACTTTCTGGCCACATAGTCGACATACGGCTACGTTACTTCCTCGGGCGGCGGCTTGACGAAAAATTGCCACACCGCCGAGTAGGAAACTTTGCCCCCGCTACTCCTCACTGGCTGACTGCTACTTTCCTCCGTGCACACCGGCACCATACTGGCCCGTGGTGGTAGGCTGCAGTGGAGCTGGTGCTCTACTCCGTGGCCGTTTGCCTCCACTGACACTGCTGCGACCTGCTGCCTCCTGGGCAACCCACCGACTGTTTTTGCTCGCTGCCAAGCAATTCTGGCACCCTCTTCTCCTGATGATGCGGAAGAAATAGCCTGATGTCGACGAGGCTGCCAAGTGCGATCAGCCTCATCATCATCAATTAGGGTCTCCGCCTCACTATACTAGCCCCCTCGGCTGCGTGTGGGTCAGGAGACAGACCTGTCTCTAGACCGGCTACCGAGCCACTCTCCTCGCCAGTACTTCTTCGCGCCTGGCTGCTGAAGAGGCGGATGTCTCCCCCCCGTTCCTGACCGCCCTCTGTTAGCTCTTCCTCACTGTACAGTGGGGCTGAGCCCACAGCATGCGATACTTCGCTTGGTGAGGGAACACCAAAGGACAGGGGCAGGTAGAGGACACGTGATTTCAGTGGGCTTGCTAACTCCCGGGCCATGCCAACTAACGGTTGTGTCTGACGTAACCCACCGACCGTTGGCTGTAGGTGTCAGAGGTGACCTGGGAAGAGGAAGACGACCGAGCCAACCAATCGATGACGGCAGGGTTGTCGGTGGAGACACGACCGCTGGATGACAACCGAGAGCACTGGCCTCTGGCTGCGACTAGTGCTGGCCTCGACCCCTTCCTCTGCTGCCACGTCTGCTCGCTCCTAAAACATGGCCTCCTCTGACACTCTCTCTGCGTGTTGTCTGACATACTCTTTAATTCAACGATTCTGTGTCCCTGAGTAACGATTCTGTGTCCCTGAGTAACATTCTGTGTCTGTCCCTGAGTAACAATTCTGTGTCCCTGAGTAACAGTTCTGTGTCCCTGAGTAACAATTCTGTGTCCCTGAGTAACAATTCTGTGTCCCTCAGTAACAATTCTGTGTCCCTCAGTAACAATTCTGTGTCTGTCCCTGAGTAACAATTCTGTGTCCCTGAGTAACAGTTCTGTGTCCCCTGAGTATCAGTTCTGTGTCCCTCAGTAACAATTCTGTGTCTATCCCTGAGTAACAATTCTGTGTCCCTCAGTAACAATTCTGTGTCCCTCAGTAGCAATTCTGTGTCTGTCCCTGAGTAACAGTTCTGTGTCCCTGAGTAACAGTTCTGTGTCCCTCAGTAACAATTCTGTGTCCCTCAGTAACAAATTCTGTGTCTGTCCCTGAGTAACAATTCTGTGTCCCTGAGTAAGAATTCTGTGATCCCTGAGTAAGAATTCTGTGTCCCTAAGTAACGATTCTGTGTCCCTAAAGTATCTGTGGCCCTAACTCTGTCCCTAATACAGAGAGGTCTGTCTCTCTTGAATGACCGGTAGGCAAATGGAGAATTGTAAGATGGCCGCAATTTTTATAGCTCTCCACCATTACACAGTGCTGGCTGGCTGGCTGCTGATTGGCTAATGCGATCACATGTCATGAATGAATGCATTATGGGTCAGCGCGCCTTGTCTGCGCGCCTTTCCCGAGATCCCCGCTCCGTCGCCACACATGTCGCCGCCATTTTTGGAAAAATTTCGATTCGCGCATCCGAAGTCTGCTAATTTTCGGATTCGGCGAGAATCGAATTTTTCCTAATATTCGAAACGAATTCCACTTCGCCAAGTTCGATTCGCTCATCTCTAGTCACTTTGCTTGTTTCATGCTAATAAAGCAGAATTTCACCCTAAAAGGGAAGTTCTACTGATGCTTCTCCCCCACCCCTTAACACTTTTGGGAATTTCTTTTTAAGTGGGGGGTGACGAATACTTGTTTCTATCAGGTACCTGCTTCTATTTCTGCTGGAATCACCTACAAAATCCTACCAGAAGTTCTCCGACCCCCGCCCCCCACCTGCAACCTCCCGGGACACATCACAGGCCCCAGGAGGCCGCAGTACCATTCCCAAGGTGACTCTAGTGCATGGGCAGTGGGGAGCTGGCTATAAAGCCACAAGGAGTCACAGCCAGCTTCTCAGTTAACATAGCTGTGCCAGGGGCA